ATATATTATATATATATATGTTATATATACATATATATATATACATATATTATATATATATATATATTTATATATATATATTTATATATATGTATATATATACTATGTATATATAATATTTATATATATATATATATATATACATATATATATATATATATATATATATATATATATATATGTATATATATATATATATATATATATATATATATATATATATATGTATATATATATATATATATATATATATATATATATATATATATATATATATATATATATATATATATATATATATATATATATATATATATATATATAAACATCTTCGCTTCGAACAAGCAGCCACAAATTAGTGTTGGAAATTACTGGAAGAGAAAAAATGAAAATTGTAGAGCAAGATAACAATTGACAGACGGCTCAAAACATTGCAAATTATATGAAATAGGATAGCAAGATAAAGGAAGCGAATTCCAAAGAACTGATGTTAGAGGAAAAAAGTTAGACGATCATGAGTATTTGGAGTATTTAAGAACAGTAACAGAAAAATGATAAGACTTAATTAAATGACGAGTAATACTAGAGTTAGTTTTACTAGATGGCACAAAAGACGCTAGCTCTTTAGAGCAGTTCCCATTATAGTATTTGTAGAAAAGAGAAAGAGAAGCAACATTATGACAATGTGATAATGGTTGAAAGTTGGATGCAAGAGCAGATCCAACTATATTTACAATGCGTTTTTGCACCTTGTCTAAAGGAGAAAGGGTATCATTAGAACAATCGCCCTAGTTATGGCAACAGTTTTCCATTCAAGGCCGGATTTGAGATTTATAGAGATAGAGAATAGAATCCAGAGTAAGAAAGTGTCAAGCTCGATAAAGAGATGCAAATTTAGCAGAAGCTAATTTTGCAACGGATTCGATATATGGTTTCCAAGAAGGATTAGAAGTAAGAGTTAATCCTAGAAAATGAAGGGTAGATTACTCATCAAGTACATTACCGTTAATAAATATAGGAAGATCAAAATTAGTGCGATAACAATTGGCTAAAAAAAATTAATTTTTTTTAATTAAAGTTCACCGGCCACTGTGAGCCTCATGCTGTAGCAGAAGTGAGATCCTCTTCAAACTCAAATGCCCCCTCCAAGCAATTAGAGAGAGTTGGCTTCTTATCATGACAAGAATAAATGGTAGTATCATCCGCGAACAATGCCACCATAGATGTGAGATCTGGAAGATCGTTATTGTAAATTAAAAAGAGTATAGGGCCAAGGATTAAACATTGAGGAACACCTGAGTTTACAGAATTAGAAGAAGAATGCTGTTCATTAAGGAAAACTTTTATACTACAATTGGAAAGGAAGAATTCAATAATTTTAAAAATGTTTCCAGATAGTAAGTAAAAGATGGTAAAATGTTTCCAGATAGTTCCACCTTAAGAAAAAAGCTTATGGAGGAGACTAGCATGCAAAACGTTATCAAACGGTTCAGAATTGTCAAGAGCGATGGCTTTAACCTCTCTACCTTTATCTAATGCATAACAAAACCTATCGATTATTACTAATAATCGATATAAGTCAGCAAATCAGCCGTAGAACGAGAAGATCGAAATCCATATTGATGATCAGAAAATTTTTAGATTCAAGATGAGAGATTATGCGTTTAAATTGAAGATTTAAAATTTTTGCTTATGTTAAGAAGAAGACTAATGGAACGGTGGTAAGACTACCGTCCCATTAGTCTTCCTCTTATCATATAGAATAAGATCGTTTTTCAGAATTTTTAAAATAGGGATAACAGATGCTGCATTCCAACAGGCTGGAAAACAAGACTCTGATAAGCACTTGTTGATTAGTTTTGAAAGGATAGGCGACAGCTCAGTAGAAAACCTTTGCAAGACTATAACAGGAACTTTGTTCGGGCCATAAGCTGTAGAAGGGTCTATGGACGAAATCACTATAAGTATAGAAGCTGGAGTGAAACGAATGTCAAGCAATTAATCAACCAGTTTGACGGCTATATCAGGTAGAACGCAACTAGGGGAATTAAGAGATAATATTGATGAAAAAATCTTAGCTAAGAATTCACCTATTATAACGATTCGGGTTTTCTGCAAGTTGGAAAGTTACTATTTGAGTTAGAGATTGAGAAAGGCAAAAGTTGTGGGCTATAATGTCTGCAGAGTAACTGACACTAAAGCCAAGCCATTCAGTGTGATGAACAATAAATTCACCAACAACAACAACATTGGCTGATTGATAAAGTGAAAGGGCTTCATCAATATAATCAGAAATAATATCAAGAAGAGTGCAGTTTTTAGATCAAGGAGACAATATAGAACAAAGAAAAAGGTGATAGAGTGAAGCTATGCTAAACGAAAGCGCATAAAAGAGTAGTCTGTGAATTCAAACCTAGTTTCCTGACAAATTGGTGAATTCTTACAAATGTAAATGCCTAGGCCAAGCATGTGACTATTGGAATTAATATTATTATTTATAATTTTAAATAATTATAAATAATAATATTAATTATTAAAATATTACCTTACGAATTAATATTATTACTTATAATTTTAAATAATTATAAATTAATTTAATATAATTAATTTATATTAACTAATATAATCAATTAAAAATTAAATTAATTTTAAATAATTATATATATATATATATATATATATATATATATATATATATATATATATATATATATATATATATATATATATATATATATATATATATATAATATATATATATATATATATATATATATATATATATATATATATATATATATTTATAATTATTATTATTATATTTAAATATTTATTTTCTTATTTTTTCTAACTTTTTTGTAAAATTTAACAAATCTTCTTTTGTGTAAAAAAAATTAAAAAATTATCTTAGGAAACTTGTTCTCTGGGTACAGAATGGTTGGTTGTACTGGATTAGTATGGATATTAGGTATGATGTTTTTTTTTTTAGTTTTTTTTCAATTTTATGGCTTTATCTTATTCTTATTTTTTAAGTCAAAAAGTAAATGGAAATGAAGCAAAATTTTCTAAAAAAGTTTAAGTTTCGTTTTCCCTAAGTAAACTAAAATAGCTAATGATCAAAAGATCATTCATTTTGCATGGTAGTTATTAAGACTGAACTTTTTTAATTTTGTTTATTTGTTATCAAAAATAATCTACTTTTAATTGCCAACAAACAAAAGTTAACTTTACTTTTACAAAAGTTAACTTTACTAACTCCTTCAGTAAATAACTAAACTAGAATTCACTTGTTAAGTGAAGGACAGTTACGTCACATAATATTGTGAAAAAAGCAATTGCTTTTTAATTCACTTTATTGAAGAAAAATTGATGTAACTAAAATAAATTGAAAATTTTTATATACTACTGCCTACAAAATCAAATTAAAAATTTTTTTTTTTCTGTTTTTAATAAAAAAGCAAAAAAGAATTAAAAAAATAAAAAAAATATATATTATAAGAAAACAATAACAAAAAATTAAGTTTTTGAGCGTTTTTTTTGGGTGCCTTTACTTACCCGCTTCAGCAGTACTAAAAAAGGTCAGGGTTTGTCCCTAATATTTGACTAATCACAAACTCATAAGCTGTGTTTTCTTTGTAAAACATTCTAACATTGTATTTGTTTTTTGTAAAACATTCTAACATTGTATTCTTACATTTTTCATTGTAAAACATTCTAACAATTTTTAAAAAGTAAAAAAGAAAATTGCAAGGCTTCCCAGGAAACTCGTGATGTTTTTAGTCTTGTATGTCCACGCATGAGTATATATAAATATATTTATATATGTATTATATATGTATACATTTGCTTTAATTTGTATTTCTTCGCTTTAAACAAAAATTGTTTTTTTTACTTTGTAAAACTAAGTGCTGCATAAAACAGTTAAAAATACTGAACCTAGCTGAAAAAACCTTTTTAAACAAAGTAACAATTGGTTTGTAAAGATTGTTTACACGTTTTATTGAAATTATTTGTTACATTGTTTTTATTTGCATAAGTGTCTATTTTTTTATTTTAAATTTATATCTTATAAAACAATTTTGATTTATTTAGGATCATTGTTATGATTTTTGTTTTTATAAAAAAAAAAGTTATAAAAACATTGACTTAAACAGCTTATCTACAAATTTTTTATAATGTCTAAAACCACAGATTAAACAAGATAAATGATTTTTAACTTCTGAGGAATAAATTGATTCTTTGTCAGTTTTCATTGTTTAGCACAACCACTAAATTTGTTACTACTTTTTGGCTTTTATATTCAACAACACTTTCTTTTATCTGAATATTATTTGCATAGTCAATGCTGCTGATTCTTTCTTTTCAATTTTTTGTATTCTTATTTTTACTTATTTGTCTCAGCCTTTATATAATATCTTTTGCAGCTAAAGCCTCCCCAGTTTTTGATTGAAATTGCTTTCTGAATTAGAGTTTATTACTGCAGTATTAGATTTTTCTCAAAAAAATAGTGTTACTGAATATATCCCTACATTCCTAGTGAGCCTACTAGGTGATTCGTTTTCGAAAAAAATTTTGATGTGTAAGTTTCTCTGCTTTGCTTTTTTTAAGATTATAATTATTCTCTTGATTAGCCTATGCTACCATTGTTTGTTAAATAAAACAAACCAAGACTTGGGAAAAAGTTTTTAATTCTTTTTAAATTATGTCTCTTTTCTTTATTAATGTAAGCAGATCTGCAAAAAGATCTGTCACAAAATAATCTTTTTTAAATTATGTCTTTTTTCCTTAATAATGTGCAGATCTTCAAAAAATAAAACTGTCAAAAGGTAAGCCAAATTTTAGTTCGCGTTGTGACAGATCTTTTTATATGACAGAGTTTTTTATTTATGTTATAAATTAAACAATATCTAAGACTATTCTTTTTTAATTCGAAACAATACATTTTTTAAAGTTAAAACTAATGTTAGTATCACAAAAAAAATTAATATTAGTTTCTCAATGCATCAGAACATAAACTAAAAGAAAAACTGTTAGGTGCAGTTAATTATACAAAAAAATTTATTATTATTATTATTAAATATATTAAAGTATATTATTATAAAATAACTTATTTTATTTCAGTATCAAAAAACAATAATAAGTGTTAAGATTTAGCAAAGATATAGCAAAGTAGGCTACAAGTATTCAGATTAACACATTACCAGATTAGTTTAATTTTTTTTTTGTAAATATAGTATTTTAAATAGTATTTAAAATTTTTTTTCACAAAATTAGTTTAGATTTATGTCCTTTTTAATCTTAGTTTTTAATCAACTTTGATGCAATAATTTACATGGAGTCAGTAACAATAACAAAGAAAATTAAATCCAAGTTAAATTTAAACCTACTTTTAAGTGAATTTGATTTGAGACTTAATTTTAGATTGATTACAGTTTTCGAGATCACTACTAGGATTTACAAAGCTGGGCCAATATTCCGGTTTCACAAAATGGCTCAGTGAGGCATCCCCAAACCAAGAGCATGTGTGGTGTTACGCTCATGTATTGAATCTTGTTCTTGTTGATACCACACAAACCACCAAAGCTGCTATCAGTATATTTCAGCTTATAAACAAATGTGCTGTTTTCTTGCGCGAATCATATATACGAATGGACATATGGGCGTCAAAACAATCAAACAATAGAAGACTAAATGTAATTAGCAAGACACGCTGGTGGGCAAAGGACCATGCATTAAAAAAAATATTTGGAAGCTTCAACAACTCATCGACGTCCTTGTTTATTAAGCTAATTGAAACTTTACAAGAGTTAGCCTCCTCTGAAGACTTTAACCCAACTGTTCGCGACACCGCCCAAACCCTATTAGATAAGTGCATCTTATTTGAAACAATTCTTACCGTTCAAGTTTTTTTGCGTATATTCCAACACACAGCATCACTTTCCAAGTACCTGCAGAAAAGTGGGATGGACGTGCTCCAAGCCTACCGAAACGTTAACTGCACTATCAAGGCACTGCGAGACGTGTCCAGAGACTTTGATGGCATTAATGCGAGCGCTAAGAAATTTGTCGAGTGGGCCAACAACTCATTGGAAGATTTAAAAATTGATGTGACGGTTGAAGCTGCATTGCCAGAGAAACGAGTTCGCGTCCCAAAACCAATGAGTGGTGAGCGACGCACTCACGAGGCTGTCGGAGATCGCGCAATTGATTGCTACAGGATAACGGTACACAACTGCGTTATGGACAAAGTAGTGAAAACTTTGGAAGAACGCTTTAAAGCTCAAGACACGTTGTTCGCTGACATAGCGTGCTTGAATCCGTAAAATTTCTACGATATCAAGAAAAACGGTATCCAACCTACTGCCTTAGTACGTCTCAGCAGCATTCTAACAAAATTTAATAAAGATGCAACAGCTTTAAATTTACAATCCGAACTCATCGACTTTTCGCCCAAGTGGAGCAAATTTAAGAAGACCGTTCCTGAAGAGTATTTGGGCATAAACTTAGCGGAAAACCGAAACGACAACGATGAATTGGAAAACGACGAGGAAACTGCAGTTTCTTCTTCGTTCTCTGAAGACAAAGAAGCTCATGGTAAATGCAAGAGTTGCAAAAATTGCCCCGTCTGTTGCTTCACGGTTTTACACAAATACAATTTCTACAGCAAAGCCTACACCCATTTGTACAATGCTTATAAGCTCTTGTTGACTTTATCGTCTACTCAAGTTGCGTGTGAACGGTCCTTTTCCAAATTAAAATACATTAAAAATAGACTGCGAAGTTCAATGTCGTCCACGCATTTAGAAGCTTTCATGCTGATGTCTGTCGAAGTAGATGTTATGGTTGGGCTGTCCAACGAAGACATCATCGACTCGGTTGCAGAAATCGCACCTGGGCTAAAAACACATCTGGTCCTTTGATCCACTACCATCCACATTCGGTAAGTTTCGATAATATGGCGTCAGAAACATTATGTTATTACGGACGTTACCAAATCATTATTGATGGGTTATTTTTTTTGTTAATATCGAGTGCAACACATTATAACCACAGAATTCTGGAGACAGCATGTATACCTTTTATGATTGCAATACAGATTCTATTGGTCGAATGCAGTTTTGCACTAACTATACCATGTATAAGGTACGTGCTATAAATATTACTGTTAAAGCATCAAAGTCGATTATCAGATGTTTTTGTGCAACTTAGTTAAATAATTGTTTTGTAGTAGAGCAGAGAGCTTGCACATTCGAGTAAAGTTGTGACTTTTCGAGCGATATTTTCGACTACCTATTAAAACATATTGAAACTTCTATATTATACCTGTATGGTAAATGGTAGCTATATACCTATATAGATATATATAAAAATATATTATGCAATAATAAAAATGTGAAGCAGTCTACAATTTGTAGGCCTTAAAAATGTCGCCGTAATTTTATCTAACTCCTGAACATGATACGAATTTTTTTGCTGCTGCTATGGAAGTCGGAAATTCCCAGCTGAACCCCCCTCATCCTCCCCCGCCCCTTAATGACTTAGTATTGCTGTATGTGGGCCGGAACGCTTGGTTTACAGTCCCGGGCCGCTTGACCACCCCCAGTACAGCCCTGTATATATATATATATATATATATATATATATATATATATATATATATATATATATATATATATATATATTTATATATATATATATGTATTTATATATATATGTATATATATGTATATATATATATATATATATATATATATATATATATATATATATATATATATATATATATATATATATATATATATATATACATATATATATATACATATATATATATATAATATATATATATATATATATATATATTATATATATATATATATATATATATAACTATATATATATATATATATATATATATATATATAATATATATATACCATATATATATATATATATATATATATATAT